AGGACTCCAGCTGCTCCAGCAGGCGTCTCCTTTGTGCTTCAAACACAGGCTGCATTTGAACCTCGTGTCTTCTATCAGTAACCTCTTCATTGAATCTTCTCTCAGCACATGTTGTCACCCTGCTGATCTCTGCAGCTCATTCAAAGGAGAGCAGCCTGCGAAACATCAGCTTTGAGTTAGAAACATTCAGGGTCAGATTTACTGATGTCTGCAGCAGCACAAAGACTTCTTTAGATGGTAAAAAGCTTCTGGATTTACTGACGCGGCTCTTTCTCAATATTCAGTTACACTAGTCTGTACTTCAAAGGTTCACACAAAACAATGGTCACATGTGTAAGCAGTTTGTGCTTCACCCGACTGTAACAGGCCCAAATAAACTCCTCAGCTCTGTGTTGTTGTATTTTTAAAGAACACAAGGAATCTGTGCAGATTTATTTCTTGAGTGGAAATATAACAGTGGGGGGTCAGTACTAATGGCTTCACCACTCCACATAGCACACTCTGGTGTACTTGAGCAGACTGACAGTCATTTCTGCAGCCAGCCTCGACTAACCGGCCACACCAACAGGGGGCGCTGTTTCCCCCATTGCACTGACATTTGTGGCAATAGTAGCATAGAAAGCCTGTTCCACATGTATGCCTGAATACAAACATACAGATGTTAGAAGGCTTTGATTTTTATTTGAGTGGAGAATCAAACAATAGACAGCAGGGGTTTGGAAGAGAACTGAACATCTAATCTGATCATTGTTAGAGCAGCATTCAGGATCTCCACGTATTAACACACTGTTTCTGCTCCCGCTGAAAATGGTTCCTCTTAAATGCAGATATTTTATTGTTAGATTTAATTTAGAGTGTTAAATATCAACACTTCACAGAGTTCTTCTGATTCTTCATCCGATGGAAGACATCACACTTTATTCTCTCACAAAGTTACTTCTGGAAGGGAGATGCGTCCTGCATGGTGACACACCCCTAACAGTCTTTATTCCCAGCTCTCTCATTCTAGTCTAAACAACAGTGTCTCAGTAACTTTCCACTAGAAGATGGTCCCTGTTATCTACTTTCTCCCAGGCAAGCGAGAGTCTACAGCCTTCTACCCCCCCAAGGACACGCTGTCTAATGCCTTTATTTTCAGGGCCGTGTCAACTTAATACTACAATATATGGTTATGTGGCATTTTAGTTCATATAAAGCAGAGAATTGAAGCATTTCAAATAATTCCATCTCAACAAGAGTCAGCTGTTTAAAGAAGAACAGATGATGAAAGGACCAGACAGGGTTCAGGACGCACGCTGAAGTCATGTGCCCACCAGCTGCCGGGGTGTTTACCAACATCTTCAATCTGTCTCTGCAGCAGGCTGCTGTCCCAACATGCCTCACATCAACTACCATCATTCCTGTGCCCAAAAGACAGTCAATAAAATGTCTGAATGACTGTCGCCCGGTCGCTCTGACACCAATGACCATGAAGTGTTTGAGAGACTCGTTCTTTCACACATCAACATCCCTGCTGACCTGGACAGCCTACAGTTTACTGCAGGAACAGATCAACAGAGGATGCAGTCTCAATCACACTTCACACCAGCCTGACTCATCTGGAGATTTGGTGCTATATAAATAAAATTGAATTGAATTGAGCTGCCTCAAATCTTCATGGCTCAGATTCAGCGAGGTGCTGGAAACATCCCTCAGAGTCATGTGATCAGTGACATCTGCTTCAGCACTGACAGATAGAAAAGTGCATCCACATAAGCAGGATATATGATGATAATAATAATCAAATAGGGATCCTGGATTGCCCAAACGACAATTGTCCTGGACATCCAGTGTGTGAATGTATGTTGATGACTGGATGTGTAAAGCGCTTTG